GATAGATAGATAGATAGATAGATAGATAGATAGATAGATGATACATGGGTGGATGGATGGATGGATGGATATAGAGATGATAGAATAAGATGGGGGGATGGATTGTAGGGAGGTAGACAGATAGACATCCAGAAGATCTGAAACATAACACCAAGGCATAGACCATGATTGGATGAAGGGCTGGAATCTACAAATTGAGCAAATTTGGCAAGGATCTGGAACACAACCCAGAACAGAAGAACCTAAGGAGATACTGTCTCGGTCATCTGGCATTCTGTGTCCTACACTGATTGACAGCTTTCTTGAGCTGCAACTTACTTCATCAGATGCATAGAGTGGCTAAAGGTGCCACTGGACTCCTCCTGATTTTTTGCTACCATAGACTAGCCTGGCTGTCTTCCTACAATGTCTACCATGATTGGCCAGATTCTTCTGTAAAGCTCACAAACCTGGGCAGACGAAGGTCACCCTCTTCCACCAATACTGCCCAACAGCTGGTATTCAGAGATACTGCTAATCCTTTAGGAGTTAGCAAACCTCTACCAAGATTTAAGGATTAGTCTCCAATGATCTACTTTTAAATGATGAAGTCTTCCTAGGCTCCAGAAATACCTCGGGTGACTCCAGATCCATGACCATGTTGTTGTTTTTTTTAAAAAAAATACAATAGAAGTGGTTTGCCATTGCCTTTTCCCAGGACCCTTTTTCCCCCAACTTTCCAATCCAGACTACAGTCCTGAAATGTCTTGGTCTCCCATCCAAGTATGAAACAAGTCCAACTCAGTTAACTTCCAAATGCTGTCATCTGCTAGGATTCAGTCCTCTTAAAAAAAGAACTTTCTAAATTGGTGGTTCTTTGTCAACAGTCCCCCAGACCAGTATTCATCCAGGGGAGGAAGGATGTATGAGGCACCCATGGAATCAACATACAGATGTCCCCAGATATATCAGACCAAACTAGGTCCTTAAAGATACACTAGTTCCTTCCATTTCTTTAGAACTGCATCTCAGATCAAAGTCCCTGAAGATCTTTTACTACTCCCAAGCCCACCAGAATGGTATTGTTCATAGGTGGTGGAACAATGAGTAGAACAACACAGGTTTTAATGTTCTTGTCTTCATTTTTTTTTAAAAAAATGTATGCCTTGTTTGGAAACATGTCCCCAAGTCTGGAACAAGGAGTAAATGGATCTCCTAAACAGCCCCAGGCACCGTGGCAGCCGTCGTGTGCATAAGCGAGACCTTTTTCTACAATCTTCTTCTAGCCATTTTGGGAGAACTCCTGCAGAAGCTCTCAAAATTCCAAACATACCTTCTGTTTCCCCTTTAAGGACAACCAGCCCCTGTGCTTAAGGACCACCAATTTGCTCTTCCTAACAAAATTCCCTCCCGCTACCAATCCATTATTTGCAGGGGGCTAAATCAACATACCAGGCGGTGGGCCAGAATGGCGGTCAGGCTCCAAAAATGTTCTGCGCATGGAAAAGAGGCAGGCCTCAGCCATGGTGTGATCTATGGCACCCCTCCCCTTACCCACACCAGCCCCCAGCTTATGAAAAAGCTGTTCCTTTCTATAAGAACAGTCCCCTGGGATGTACAGCACTTGATCAAGCTCGTAACATCATTAGCCAACACGAGCAGAGATTAAGCCTCTCTGAAGCATGTGGCAAGATATAATTAGTAATAAAAGTCACGGCAGGAGCAAAATAAGCTGTGGGAGAAGAGAAGAGGGGCAGCCGTTTACATGCACACAGGAAGAAAAAAAAAATACTGGTTAGAGTCCCTGACATTTTTGCCTTTTAAGGCCGATGAGGAGGAAGAATTCCAGAATTTGTACTCAAGTAGCTTCTTTATGAGGCCAAGCATTAGTTTATTGAGGCTGCAAGCTTTTGAGGTCTCCAGAACTCTTCATCAGGCAGGTGGGTAAACCGAGCAAGAGAGGAGAGATGGACAACATGTAAAAGGAGGTTGCTTTTCATGCCATTGTTGGGCATTTTTCTTTACAATCTTATAGTCCAAGGAGTTGGACATACAAATTCTGCTCTACTGTTGTGAAGCTTTCAGTCTTTTCCTAGAAGCAAGTGACAGTGGTCAGTTTCTCTTGGAGGAAAATAGTGGTGGTTGGCTTCTCCTAGAAGCAAGCAATGGTGGTCGAAGGGCGTCTCTTACCTTTGACAAAACTTATGGATTCTTTGGTAGATGAAGAATGGTTGTAGAGAGCCAATTGTCAGTATTTGCAGGGCTGTTCTACATTTCCTCAACATCAGGGACACTGCTAGGAAGTCTAAAATGGGGAACATTGGTGCAAAAGAGTCTGAGATCGCATGGAATAGTTCACACTTTGCCACGTGGTCTCTTGGGGTTTGGAAATCAACAACCCTCAGAAGGAAATGGGAACATCTGAAGCTCAGCAACAACAGTCAGTGTAGTAGGAGGAGAGGCGTGTTAGTGTATGGTGGCAAAAAATCAGGAGGAATCTGTTCCCACATTTTCAGCTAAGTGAGTGAATGAATGAATGAATGAATGAATGAATGAATGAATGAATGAATGAATGAATATCAAATGCCCCTTTCAGTGTTATTAACAAGCTACAACATCTGGGATAACAGTAGAAATGGCTGTGTATCAAATGAAATTAAAACTGAAAAAAAGCCAAGGAGGAGAAAGAAGGAAGAGCAAGAACTTGGCCGATGGATTCAAAGTTCCACAGCCTGAAGTCCATGGCAGTGACCAAGAAGATGTTCTGATTAAGATGCAGGGAGGGAAAGCAGATGCTGGATTCCAAAATCAAGCCCACTCTATCATGGCTTAGTGTGATCTATTGTTATTGTAAGGTCATGGTTGCGCTTATCATTGTCACTGATTGCAGCTCTTGTTCCTTCTAAAATCTTCTCAGACCCTCCACTCCTTTCTTCGACCTGCTGCAGCACAAATACAAAGAGATTTGGATGGCCGAGCAGAGAGCTGTCATCAAAGCTGAAAAGGCCGAAAAGAAGCAAAAGGTTAGACATCTTGGTTTGCTGGCATCTTGGTTTACTGGCCCTCTTCTCAAGGCCTTACTCTTGTAGACACACATTGTACAGTTTCTGGACTGGCACCAAGGAGCTGGTTTTACTTGATGTTAGGAGACAACTCTAGATCAGTGTTTCTCAACCTTGGCAACTAAGTTGGGTGGACTTCAACACCCAGAATTCTCCAGCCAACATGCTGGCAGGGGAATTCTGGGAGTTGAAGTCCACCCATCTTAAAGTTGCCAAGGTTGAAAAACACTGGTCTAGATAGTTTGACCTCTCCTTTGATGGAACTGCAGAAGATCAGCAAACCTCTCTTGGGGCTTTTGTAGTGAGAACACTTGTCCAAAGGAGTTAATGGAGTTAATTTCCTTTATTCTTGTTCATGTATTACTTACATCTTGTTAGATGTCCCTTGAAAGTAAAGTTAGGTCTTTAAATGACCTGGTTATCACATGAGAAACCATCAAGCAGACATGAAGCATCGGCCATGGTTTGAAGGTAAGATTTCTTAGTTTCCAAATATTCTTATTCAGCATGGGAACCACGCTTCCCTGTCTCCAGTTAAGTCTCCTAGGCTGCTTCTTTCCAGCTCTGGAAATGTCTGCCCTCCTGCCTACAAGTCAACAATTTTCCATATTCTTCCCAACCAGGTCTGTAGAACCTGTGATGGTTTCTAGCCACCAGTCACTATTTGAAGTAGCTTCCAATAGTTACCACAAGCCATCCCACCACATGTAATGGTCTGTGGGGATGACCTTGGGAGACAGGAGGAAGAGCCACAGCCAGGGGAACAGTCAGATAAGAGGCAGCTTAGCCCACAGAAGGAACACGGACGTGGGAAATGTCTCAGAAGGGACCCTCCCTAGTTTTATGGGTTGTAAAGGTGAAGGGGGAGAGAAGTACTTTCAAAATGGCAAGATCCTGTTAATGTCACCTTACAAGGAAGTGGAATTAGTTCATCTGGGTGTGCCTCTTGTCTGTATCACCTTGCAAGGCCGACACCAGTGTTGCCCATTAGCAAGCAACCAAAGTTTGTTTCTTCGGTTGAAGTTGGTCTCCTCAACCAAGTGCCAGTGCATTTATATGTACAATACCTTCTCCATTGTGACCTTCTTCCAAGTCTCGGATGCTGGTTTGTTTTGCTTTAGAAACGACGGGGGAAGTTCTATGAGACGCGGACGACTTTGTTGAGAAAGCACCAACCGCCGATGAAAGAGGAGCAACTTTGGCGTATCCCCCATTTTCAGAAGGTAGATCTGAACCCCAAAAGGTGGTTTTGTTCTGAACAGCAACGCAAAGGTTGGCCTCCCAGTATCCAATTCAATTTAAATTTAAATGGCTGAAATTTTGTGAGAGTCCAGTGCTCTTGCCTGAAGGTTTTTGCTGACTTCTTCGGGTGAGGTTGCTCATTCATTTCTTTAAAGCTGGGAGCCCCCTGCCCCGCCCCGCCCCGCCCCTGGGCCATCAGACAAGATGGCGGGTCTTGACCATGTTGCAAATGAAGTGGTCAAGGTCCACAGTCCACAGATGGAACCATGAAAATGGTTCTTGCAGTCGTTTTTTGGCTGAGACCAAAGATTTCTTCAGAAACATTTGCACGTATTGAACGTCAGTCATTCCTAAATTTTGGCAAACAGTCCCTCCGTAAATAATTTAAAGAAGCCGTGTCCACCGAGCTCCATCGTGGAGTCACCATCAGGAAGAACTAGATTAGTGAATATTTTAAATCAGAACTTGGTATTGATAGCCACTTATGACTCTTGAATTCTCTTCCTAGACAAGCATATAAACAATTGCAATTGATTGATTGATTGATTGATTATATGTAGTCAAGTCATTGTTGCCTCTTAGCGACCACCTAGATAGATTTTCTCCATGACAACAGTTGCAAATGAGTGTATTCCAAACTGCTTCTAACCAATATTAGACTTTGCCACTTAATTGCTGCTTCTGTTGATGGTAATCTTTAGAAAGGCATAAATTTCATTCAGTTGGTTTTACACATATCAGAGGTGTGTAAATATTCCCAAAGACGTGTATAATGGACAGGATGCGCCTGAGATAAGTAAGGTTAGGTTAAAAAAAATCAGAAAATATATAACTCAACACAGCATGGAAATAGGGTTATGCAGGTGCTCCTGGGGGTGGGGGGGGGGAAATAGAAAGTGTGATTTTGCAAAAAGGAGAAATTGAGAGAAACTGAAATTGACAGTCACCCATTTGTAGCCACCACGGTTTGCCTCCCAGTGCTATGAGCTAAGACCAATTTTCCTGCTTTGGAAAAATTACAATGTAAAGGTTGGCATAGAAAGAGAAGGAACAAAGGAAGGCTTAGAGACCCTTAACAAAGAAGCGGAGATTTTGGGATGGGATACCAAGAGGTGTTAAGAACGACCAACAGCCAACCTGTTGGTATAGTTGAAAATTTCTCCCTTAATACTGTTCATGTTCCTAGAGAAAATCCTCAGGCAGATTCTTTTTTAAAAAAGCAAAGTACAAAAAGAAATCCAGGGGGAGTCATTAAGGAATAATCCACTGTATCAAATGTTGAAAGATAGTTCTGGGCTTCACAATTTGATACCCCCCTGGGGAAAGATGACAAATAAGAGCTCACAGCCTGATCTTTCCTTTAAAAAAAAGAAGAAACCACAGAAAACAGACGCCTCCGAACAACCCAAACGGAACACACCTGAACATACATCCAAGAAAAATAGTTTGCACGTCCCTCAGTTTCTTAGAAGGAGCGTTCCACGCGATAACGTTTGAATTCACCCTCCGAGAAAAGTTCCAGATGATTTTTTCCAGGGTTGCTAAGGCTACATTTGAAAAGTTGGTGTCTTTACTGAACAGATCGGGCATTGACATTCCTGTTAGGCAATCAGTTGTCACACGTTTGCTCGCTTCTTTGTAAATAATAATAATAATTATTATTATTATTATTTATTAAATTGATATGCCTCCCAACCCCCAGTGACTCTGGGTGGCTTACAAATGGTTAAAAATATTAAAAACAAGAAAAGGTTCAATATGAAGTGACTGAGCATAGCGCTCTCTCTATTTCTCTCCCTCCTTGCGTGCCTCCTCACATTCTGATCAATAAATGAACCTGTGACTAATTCTGACCGTGTAATACCAAAGGTTTGCAGAGGAGACAAGGAACAGAGATGCCACGGTCTAAAACGGGGGTTAAAACAGAGGAAAAAAATATATAGAAAAGAGAATATCCTGCTTTAAAAATAATCGAATGAACGGCTCCTGACTGTGGAATCTGCAGGACAAGAGGGGGACGTGATGTCACATCGATCCTTTGTGGAATGACGTCATGATGACTATGACATCATTGTGGTTTCTGCCAGATGTTTGTGCTCCTGCGAGAACGTTGTTGGGGATTTCAGTATCTGGATGAGTATAATTGGAGAAGACAAAAATGCTAAAAGTTGTCTTAGCCGTTGACAACTTTTCTCACTTCCCTTGTCTGTGTTGCCACTAGTTTCCCCTCAACTGGAGCCAAAACTGGGGTGTAAATCGAGTAAGAGAATAAAGTTAAGGGAGGAGTGGGGGAGTGTGAACGGTTTGGATAATCAGCGTGGAGTTGGTTTGAAGGTGGATAAAGGAAAATCGGTAGCAGAAAGATGTTGGGATTCAGGCTTTCTCAATGGTTAGACTACAAATCACATCGAAAATTGGTATCAGGGTTTGGATTCAGGCTTTCTCAATGGTTGGACTACAAATCACATGTTCCCTGGCCATTTCCATTGGAGAAGATGGGAACTGTTGTCCAGCCCAATGACTAGACTTCCTTCTAACTTTCTTTGTTTGGTATACGACCATCTCCTTTTTTTTTTCCTTGGAAAATCGGAAAGGGAGATTTCATTCGCTTTACATCCAGGGCATTTAATCTCAGAAATTAACCGAAATCTTGCATCTAATGCACGCTGCTTCTCACACACGATCGCCCTCTCCCCTTGCAATCCTAGCTATCTTTTTCACTCTCTATCCAGCCTCTTTTTAACCATAAACAGGTCAGAAGCTGAAGGCAAACCATGGCTTTTAAAAATAAACAGACCCAGCCATCAAACCGTGGAGGAACGGGGTTGAAAAGAAAAGTCGGTTTCTTTTTTCGTTCGCTTTTCGTTTCTCTTTTATTTAGGGTTTTTTTTTCTTTTTTAATTAACCTCCCCCCCTTCTGGATTTCCTTCTTGGTGATAGGCTTTCATTTGGGATGGTGTGTATAAAGGGCCATCTTTTATACACCCAGACCAGCCTCAAACTGAGTTTGCTGAGTTCGAAGCAGGCCAGTTTGCGAAGCCACGAGAGGGTTCACGGGCTTGGGCATCACTTCGGTGCCAGGCGCTTCGGTGCTGTGGGAAGGCAGCCACCACGGCCCATGCTGGCTTGCTTTTTCCTGGAAAAAGGACCATGCCCGTGGTTTAGTACGCTCCTCAACCTCCCCACTCATCTGTCACAGCGTCGGTTGACAACCCTATCGAAAGCCGCTGTCCGCGCGGGACAGAGTTGATCTTTCACTCACAGGCAGTTTATGAAAGGCAGAGAATTTGAAGGGAAGTCTGGCAAAGGGGGGG